CATTGCCTGCTGCTGCTATTCAAATATGGCGCTCACTCTCTCGCACACCAGCTCTCGCTCACTTGCTCAGCACAGCGGCTGGACTCTCCTAAGCACAAAGTGGGAAATTGCACGCATACAGTGACAAATGGATTTGTGTTGGGTGGGAAATTTTATACGTGGCGCCCCTTTTTCGCTTGGCGCTATAACCTCGTTCGAACACCTACGGCCCACCACACCCCACTAACTCACTCTTCTCAGCTATTTGCCAAGCCTGACGTCCGCGTCGTCGCATTCCTAAAACTTTTCCCAAACCTTGGTAAGCCCTATGGCGCAAATTTAAGTGAGAGAGCTTCTAGCTTTTACTGCCCACTTTCTCAACCCCCGATTGTCTGTTGTGGGTATTCATGTATGCGCGCCTATGTGTGTGTGTGCAAAAATAGCAGTAGCATCAGCGACAAGGCCAACAATAATAGCCAAAAACAATAACAAAAACAAAGGGACGTTTATTTTTGTACCTTTAACAAATCGATAAATAATTTTAATTGTAGTGTTGCATATGCGAATTCGCTGGCAGAGAGCAACAATCGTGTAGTCCGCACAAGAATACAAATGTATTTATGTACAAAAATATGTACATATGTATGCATGCATGTGTGGTTATAGCAGATATTGGTAGTGCAGGCAATTAAAATTTTTAGAATGTACATAGTTTCTTTAGAGGCGGAAGCATTCATAGCCTATTAACCCTAAATATGTACATGATACCGTCCAATACCGTTTCCCTCAGGGCATCACCCCTAAGTATTTTGTCGGGAGTTGTTTTGAGCACGAATCACTGTGACAGTTCCTATACAGAAGTAGTCTGCTAAAAATTATATTTACTATGCTCTGCCCTACGAATGCGAACATGCATTCGTACGCGATCACGAACGCGATCACGAATGCGAGGGCGAGGGCGAGGACGAACAAGAAGACGACTACGAAAACGGATATTAGCAAGAATATGAATACAAATAAGAAGAGCAATACGAATGTGAAGACAGAGGTGAGGATGTCGACGAAAACGAAGACGAAAACCTATATGAACCTTATAGCGAAGACGAATATCCCCACGAAGGCTCTACCAATTCGAAAGCGAACAGGAAGACGAACACGGGTGTGAAGGAGGAAATAAATAAGAAGACATCTTCATCTTTATCTTCATCTTCGTCTTCATCTTCATCTTCATCTTCATCTTCATCTTCATCTTCATCTTCAT